GTCCTCCTAGTCCTCCGTTCGGTATGGTAGCATTAGGAGGCAGTGGGGTTTCGAATGGTGAGCACCGAGAAAAACTATAGAAAACCCCTGCACCGCCCACCTGCTACACCCACGAGAGGGGCAGAGAGGTTCATCATTCGTCCTGGATATTATGTACCTGAAGTACAGTATCAGAATATGTACCTAAGGTATGTACCTATATGGTTTGAATTGAATCTACTGGAGTAGACTGGTAGACTGTTTTGTTTTGTTTTTTTTTACCTCACCGATATCTGGTTTATGTATTGAGGTAGATAGCAACTTGGAACTAGCTGCATGTATCCTGTTCTTTATCCTACCCTTCCAGCTATAGCTTACCCATTTCGGTAAGTGGGTTATGCTTTAAGCTACCTTGTTAGGTACTATAAACCTGCCTTAGGGTCCAGCTAGGTTGTCGGTGGGGACTTACATGTTTCTGTACTCACTCAGGTACCGAGGGAAGTAACGCTATCCCTATCAGACGTAAGTAGAACCTGGTACTCTGGTACGAAGAACTAGGCACCGCAACTAACCTAGAAGGTTTACCCCTCCAAAGAAAAAAAATGTTTCGAAGAGGGAAAAAAAAAATATGATTCACCTCAGCTTCATCCATCCCACTCTGTCAACCACTCTGTCAACCACTCCACTTCCCTCTTAGAAACTCGTTGTCTTAGTTTTCGAGCCACACGTCTTTCGTTGCCATTTTCTTCTCCTTATTCTTACTCGTCCACCCCTGTACTTGTACACACGTATTGTACATCTCACAAACTCTCAGACCTTCTAACCAAGGACAGAAGTTATTACTGTTGTTGTTGTTGTTGTTGTTATTATTATCTACCACCCGGGTTGCGGCAAGCAGGCTACCTTACACCTCTATTTCCATCCCCATCCCCCCCTGCGCATTCCTCCGCGGCCACTTCTGAGGCGGCCTTGTCTCTTTGCCTGTTTGTCTGACTTGGCTTTGCCTTGTCTGCCTATCCCATTCGTCTTTCGACTCCCCTCCTGGCCCTTCTACTGTGCCACACCCCCAAAAAATTTTCACGCATTATCTTCTCTCCCCCCAAGGTACACATATCGCCTACCTTGCCCTTCACTCCTCGCCGTCTTCTCTTCTCCTCCTTCTTTCCTCCTCCTCCTCAGCATGAGCGGTCTAGCCACTTCCAACATACCCGTTGATCCCGTGGCAGCCAACCCAGATCAGCCAAGCATCACTCCAACTGCTGCACCCGATGCCTCGCGACGAGAGCCCGCCTCCTCCGCCGCCGGTACCACCGAACTCGCCGGTAAATCGGTAAACGCCCTGCTCGCGCACGAGCGGGAGAAGCTGGAGACTGCTAAGAAACTGGTGATCGACGCCTTGAGATTCGTACCTGACTTCCCCATCCCCGGTATAAACTTCATCGATATCCTCCCGATATTCCAGAACCCTGCGGCATTTGAGTCTCTCCTCGAGGTACTTGCCCTCCTAATACGAGAACGATACGGCGACCAGATACCAGATGTCATAGTGGGTCTAGAAGCACGCGGTTTCCTCTTTGGGCCTTCACTTGCATTGAGGCTCAACCGCCCATTCGTCCCGGTCCGGAAGAAGGGCAAGATGCCAGGCGCATGCAGAACAGTTGAGTACAAAAAAGAATATGGATCAGACGAATTTCAGGTGCAAATCGATGCTATCAAGCCCGGACAAAATTGCTTGATCGTGGACGATATCATTGCTACTGGTAAGTTGAGTGCTTTGCGTCTACCTGTCACTCGTGCTTTCTGCTAGGTTGCTTGGGCCTCTCGGTGCCATATTATAAGTTGGCCCTCACTAGCCTTGATTTCGTCTACCCTAACCTATCCGTCCCTGTTTCAAATATACTCCCGCACTTCTACCTATTACCTATCAATGGGCACACGGACAATTTTGGAGTTCCTCCCAGTCGTCCTGCTGCATCACTTAATGTCTAGTATGAGTACAAGCTAGGGAAATAATGGCGGCGATCGACAACACTGCTATGCCCCAAGTTTTGCTCATAACTAGCCATGACAAAGGCAGATGTCCGACATGAGGCTAGAAGTCGGCTCCAATTATACCGGTAATAAGTATCTCCACTAGGTGGTATAAAAGCACTGGCCAGGGAGAAACCTGCCGTTTCAACGACAAAGAAGCATCGTCCAGTTTTGCGTTCTAGCGTGACTTTCTTGTTTACTCCGCCGCTTCGGCCTGTCCTCTCAACTGACTGGGTAACTCAGGAGGAACTGCTGCTGCTGCAGGCCAACTCGTGGAACTCTCGGATGCTAAAGTCATGGGTTACCTCTTCATGATTGAAATTACGAACCTCAAGGGCAAGGCGCTGTTGGGTGACAAGCCCATGATCACTCTCGTCGAACACGATGAAGAGGAATAGATTCCGCGTATCACCTACTCTGGCATTCCCTGTTTCCGCGTCACAAAAAAAAAGGTTTCATTCCCAAAATACACGAAAGAGGACGACAATAATTCACACAAATTCTACCATTTTAAATCTAATGTTAGATGCCTCTCGGACTTTATTGGATAGCTGAGCTGGATAGAACGCGCTGTTGGGTTGCTACAGTACTTCAGCGCAACCGTTAATCACAAAGTGGGGAGGCCTCCGCGAAAGCTGGTTTGAGGTTGCATGGCCATGGCGTTAATGGAATACGAATAACACAGGGTGGCACTGAATTTCTGTTTTAACATGATTTGCTCATAGAGAGTCATAATTCCGTAATCCATCCTAATCTCAATAGTCTGCCTGCTTGCTTCTAACTGCCGCGAGTATCATTCTGCGTATCACACTATCTCGATGTCAGCACGTCAGCTGAAATTACCTATCACAAAGGTGCTCACCAATATCATCACGGTATCAAAGTTCATCACTATTCAGATCTCGTGTTCCAAGGTTGCTGTGTTACAAATGATAGGTGAGTTCGCTCGTGAAGGTCATCGTTATACAAGTATCGAAAATGGCAATGCCACCCCCTATACGTGCGAGCTTGAAGTAGAACTTGTACTTGGATACAAGTAACTTGTCCAAGAGTCCAATAGTCCAATAGTCCAATAGTCCAATAGTCCAATAGTCCAATAGTCCAATAGTCCAATAGTCCAATAGTCCAATAGTCCAATAGTTAATCTTCACGTGCTTCAGAGCTTTCCAGATACACGAGCGCGAATCAAAAGAGCCGTGTCCAATTACTACCGTTACCTTCTAGTCTTTTACATCCTAGATCTTGTCCTACCTTGACTGCATCCTTGCAACCACATACTTCGAGGTGAATGGCTTCATTTTACCTATACGATAATATTACTTTCACTAACGCATCACTTGTACGTCCGCGTAGTGCTCAGGCACCTTTTGGGTAGTTCTTCATTTATATGGCATCGCGGATATCCATTGAGATACTTGCCGTTATCAGCGATGACGACAGGGTCGCGGATTAGTTTACTTCTCTAGCCACCGCGGGGTGTCAGTCCACCATTAAAACTTGTGATTATAGGTGTTACTATCTCCTATTTCGACTGTTACTGCATACGGATATGAAGCGGAATAAAAGATAATATCACTAATATATTTTAGCTGTTGACGTTCCTAGGTAGGTTAGGTATTTATAGAAATACGGTAAACCAACTTAAGGGTCTCTTATGACATCAATCGTGGTAGCTAGAAGATCTCTTAGGTATACTATGCACTTACATCTGCCGCCCTTTCTTATTGGTCTTTAGGGGAAAGGTTACAAAAGAGACGACTACGAGAAACATCTTCCAAAAGCATACTACACAGTAGGCTCCCACAGTAGTCACTTGGAATCTACATGTTACAGGAAGTCCGTCTCGAGGGGAAGTCCAATTTAATCTAAGGAAATATCATATGCGCGTCTTAGCTAAATTCGCGCATCTTATAAACCTAAGTGAATTTGACATAAAGCACATTCTAGATCTAATATACATAGCAAGGTATAAAACGGACCGCGGATAACAATCACCAATACGATATCTAAGAAGGATCAAGACGAAGACTTGGTTGCAGCATATACTCGTTTTGCTACTAACTATCTCATCTACTCTCGTGAGGCGTGGAGCGACACGAGACCTAGAAGTCATCAACCCCACGCACTTCTAAGTTGCGTACGTAGCGAAAGATGCAAAGGTACGCCCGATCGATAGAATACAGCAACTTCGTATATGAATGGGCTTAAAGAATGTGTTTTCCAGAAGGTGTCTACTAGCTTGAGATTCCCAACCCTCCTTAGAAATAAGCTGGGAGCGCGCTTGTGATCTTTTTAATTCGTGACATTGCAATTCATAGTAGGACGATGTGCATCTGAATGTATGCAAGTTGAAGCTTTTTTCATCATGCCCACTACAAGTCCAGTAAGACAACTAACTACCTAATTCCCAACCGACATGTCCGTTAGAAGGATTGCTACCCAGCGAGCCGTAGCTAATCGTACGAGGACCAAGGCCATGTCAGTCGGCCCAATGCTACATAGATAGGTATGTACCTAGTCCTAACAACAGTCCTCTTCGCTCTGGAAAAATGCCTCTTCATGAGGGGCTTGATGGAACCACTGGGCCTCGAATTTGATGCATGTCTCGCGGATCTTGTCGAAGTAAGGGAATCGTTATATATATATATATATAAGTATAAGCAGCGACAGCAAGAAGAATGGTTGGAAGTCATCGCAAGCTCATCTTCGCTTATGCAGGTCCTACTTACCCCAGATTGACGCGCCGTGCTGCAGGAGTCGATGATCTAGAACAGAGGGCGATCCTTGCCTTCCTTCATCAATTCCGCCTCTCTCGTCACGATTGGGATCTGTCGCAGTCCAATGCGCATGATCCCGCGAAGTGCAAAAAACTCTCATGCCACCTCACGTACGTGGAATAGATGCCATCGGGATAATGTATGTGCCATTATCCCGGGTCGTGGGCCGATTGTGCTGGTGATTTACCACGGATTCTCGGGTTTTGAGACTCGGGTTTTGAGGCTCGGGTCCGGGTGGCGAACCGAGATTAACAGGAGCTTAAAAGCCGCTGTGGATTTCGACGATGATGCCTAGTCGTGCCAAGCAGACGTCAAGTGCTACGTAGTAACAAGTCCTTGACCTTTTCTCTTGCTCTTATTACCTCTTCGCCTGTCCATCGCATTCCTACAGCCGCGTCTTGCGCCTCCCTCCCATCACGCACCAAGCCATCCACGGAAGTAGAAAGAAAGAAAGAAAAAAAAAACCTCCCCCAAAGCAGAGCAGAGCAGAGCACACGCGCAACGCAACCATGTCCTCGATCACCACCGCGATCCCCACGGGCCTAATCACCGACTGGTGTCTAAGCGTCGCAGAGCGCTTCGACGGCTCGCGGTACGAATGCGCGGCAGACAAGCCCGGGTGGAAAGCATCCAACTACCAGACCTTCTGCTGCGACGGCGACATCCTCAACACGGCCAAGGACATCTGGCACGACATCGGCCCCGGCAAGAACAACTCGATGGACATGGCCGACATGGTCTGCTGCGGGCTAGGCGGCGCGCAGCAGGGCGGCATACACCCGCTGCCGACGGCGTACACGACGTGTTCGGCGGGCGCCCCGACGCCCCTGGCCAGCGTCGCGGGCACCAATACGGATAACGCGGCGCCGTTCCTCGTCACGTACACCAGCGCTAGTTTTGGCCAGGGCACGACTGGCGATTACGTCCCCACCGAGCGGCCGACTTGTTTCTGGGCGTACACGGTGGGTGTCGGGACCACGCAGGTCACGCTGCCGGCGCCGGATATTACGACTCTGCCGCCGGATACGACGGACGCGTTTGGGTTCACTATTGTCGCGCCGAGTACGACTGCGACGCGGCCTGGGACGACGGGGGGTGCTTCGGTGCCTGCTGGTGCGACTGGGGCCTCTAGCTCGGAGCTGAGAACTACGGTGTTGACGGGGACGGGGACGGGGACGGGGACGGCGGCGCAGAGTAGTGAGGTTCCGAGTGAGTCGACGTCGACGCCTTCGGGTGCGTCGGGTGTTATGGGTGTGAGGAAGGGGTATATGTATCTTGCTTTGGGTATTGCGACCATGAGCTTGTTTTGGAGCTGATACTAGTGTATCTGTATTGAGAATTTGAAGAGTGGATAAAGGCGGAGGTTTTTATGACTCTATTATGATGTTGATAATAATGTAATGATATGGGAGGGTTAAATCTCGATTTGGCGCCACACTATGTATGTATAGGAGATGTTGTCATAGAACGGAACGGCTCTCCTGAGTTTAGAGCATCCGGTTCTTAGAGAAACATGGTTTTGTCATTGAAGATCACAATAGTACCCCGAGGCTGGCCAAGCTACTGGCTTTTGCCTCTCCTTTAGGTACATTACATATCCACAAGACAAGACTATTGAATAAAAGAATTAAATATTACTATTTATGATCCTCAGTATGTTCATCCCCCTATTTTTATACATGCATCAGAAGTCTGCGCCCTAAATCAGATAAGATCACTTATCCAGTATCACATGCTATTTTTTTTTTTCTCCTTCCCCTAAATTTGCTTCGTTGATTTTTCAGGCTCCTTGTTCCCCCTATTCTTCTCAGACCCGCCTACTTCGCGGCCTCGTAGTGACGTTGTAACCCTGGATATCAAACATAGTGTCATCAAACTCGATAGATATCGAGATGGTGACGGGGATAAGCGCGGGATGACCGCTACCCTCAAGTCTAGCACCACCTTCGCCGTTGGTACTAGAGCTTCCATTGCCCGTGCTCAACTCATCGACCTGATTCCCGGCCTGTTCGGGTACCGCATTAACCCGCAAGACGCTAGCGTCGGTAGCAATGTCAGACGCGTTGGATGTGGGAGTCATGACGGGAGTGCTGAGGCCGGGGTATAAGGTCTCGGAGCTATTAGTAGTGGACGAGCTGGGTATTCTGGGGTGGGCAAAGAGGCCTTCAGTAGATGGATAGGCTCTATTTAACCGGTCGAATACTTCACTAGCGGGCCTATCTCTTTCCGAGGGAAGCATTGTCGTGTCGTTGGATATAGTAGGGCGATTCGGCGGGAAGGGCTGGCTGAACCGATTGCGCCGATGCCAACGTCCGTTGAGATGGTCCGACGGGTAAAATACGCCGGGCGCTTCGGGCGTAGGAGCTCTTTCTGACGAGTATTGTAGCTGGTATGGAATATCATCAGGAGGCATATCCGGCGTACTTGGCCTGGAGGGTTCGCGAACGTCGTTAAACTGGGTTGACCAAGGAGATGGGCGATTCGGGTCAAAGATAGAGGACTCGAACCGAGCGATCTCGTCTGGGTCGGGAATGGCTCTAGGCCTCACAGGCTCGATATCGAGGATATGGCTAGGGAAAGCCATGTGAGGTAGGGTTTCCCGGTAATCCCTAATGGGCCGTCCATTAATAAGACTGGCTAAGATATCTGACTCCTCAGGCCTGGTGGTCCCGAAGGTAGTGTGCCAACCGGAACCGGTGTGATCGTAAGCCCCGCTGAGCCTTCGGGAGCCTACGAAATTTCTTTGGTCAAATTCCTCGAGGCTTGACAACCTCCCAAGATCACTGTCGTATGCCATCGCGGGGATCGAGCGGCGGGAACCAGCTTGTCTGGCGGGAATATCGGAGCTTCTGGGTCGGCCCCGTTCGTTGACCCAGCCTGATGCCGGCTGCTGGTTATTGCTTTGTTGGTGATTGTATTGCATTGTGCTAATAACTGAGTGGTTTGTTGTTGTTTGATTAAGATGCAACTTGTATTGTTATTTTGGCCCTTGGAAACTATGTAGCAAAGATTAGGAGAGAGGAAGAATAGAAGAATACGAAAAGTTTTATATAGAAGTTTTTGGGCCCTTGAGCAAACATGCGGGACACTTATGAGTGCGTGTACTGTGACTATTTACACGTGTAGGCAAGCTTGATTGTTACATGATTTTGTTAAGAAGTGGACATCCATGACATTTCAGCCGCAAGGGAAAGATGACTGGAGTGGTAATGCAAGCGATGCAAAATAAAATAGAACTTGGCCTTTCCAAACATGGACTGCTAGTTGGCTTTGAAGGTAATCGATTTGAAGGTTTTCGTGACGTAGGCTTACAGTCTACATAGCAACGATTGCTACGAGATAACACATACTTCCATCTCAGGACCTGACTCTTCCCCTGACGCATGTTCCGAGCCGCTATTAAACGTATCATAGAATATGACTGCCTATGATTCGAACACTGTGCATCTGAGAAAGGAGTTTGCAAACAGTGCAACTCCTAATGAAGCTTTAACATCGATAGCAACTGATAAGCCCCAAGTTAAAACATGCTATTGAATATAATGAGCTGGTAAATTATATATAGCATTAGTAATATGCGATTTTTCATCAATAATAACCTGGGAACCCTCAGTAGGTCGACTCCAGTTAACATGAGTCACTATTGCTTAGACCTGGCCATTTGGGAATTTAGTATGGGTTTTAATAATAGGTCACACAATTTATAAAAGCATAAGACGGACGAGACATAAATATACACCTTATATACCTCTCACACTAACGTTGAAATTCTAGGTAGGGTTCTGTTTGCTTGAAGGGCTACAGACCATATACATAGTACTAGAAGCATCAGAAGTAGGTAGCCTTTATCAACCCTTAAACAACAAAGCATCGCCATGTTGAACTACATCTAACTACCTAGTTATACCTATAGAGAAAGAAAAGCATCATCATGCGTAGATGTTTGCACCTGTGATTTTCTTCACCTACAGAATATAGTTAAATAATGAACGAAAACTATCTAATAACATACATATAGCAGCTACATCTGCAAGTATGGTTTATTTAGATGATAATTACTATTCGTAAGGAAACTTAAAACTTTTTTCATTATGGTTAGCAGTTGTTGTGAATGAACTTACGGTTAAGAATATCTACATGCCGGAGGCAAAAGTTAAACACTCATATATAAAATTAGGCACGCTACGACTCAAGACTGTTACGACCAAAGGTGTCACGAAGATAATAATAACAACTTGGTATAAGAACAAGTGGTTCATATTGATGCTAATGATTCACTATCGGGAGCTTGAGGAACTAAGACTGCTAACGATCTATAATAACAGGACAAGACTGCAATCACAAAGATACAAGCATAGGACTAGCAACACTGAACACATGAGTATCTATTAGCTATTAAGAGAATGCTTCAGCCGGCAAGTGCATACCCTACGTGGCATAACACAACACGCGACATCTAATCCGTATGAGGACCTCGCGTGCTTCGATATCAAGCAGCCCCGTCACAACATATTCCGCCCACTCCGTCACTGTAAAAGATGAAACATTTGTGTGCTGTTTCGCAGGTATTTTCTGATCCGCATCAACCAAATGACAGGGGGTATACTGGGTATCAGTTGAGTATTAGGAAAAGATGTGTCAAAACAAAAGCAGTTCTCCTCGCAAATTGAGACAAGACATGCAAAAAGCGTCAGTATAAAGATCATGGATGCCATCCTTGCGTCAATGCAGCCAACTCCCTGTTCCGACTAACAGAGAGTATGCCCGCCAATCGCCGACAACAGATGGGGGTATCAGTTAGAAACCAGTCTCGTAGGGTATCTTGAAATGCAGATCCGTTCCCGACCAAACCCAGTGTCGTGGATACACTTTACGAAAACATTAAATATTGACCCGAAGGCCAAAGCGGCGCGCACTCTATGCGGCAGCGGTGACGGGAGCCGGGGCAGCGGCAGCAGGCTTCTCCGCGGACGTCTCCTCAGCAATGGGAGCGACAGCGGATTCAGCCTCAGCCTCCTTGGCGGGCTCGGTCTCCTCGGCTACATCAGCGGGCTTGGTGTCCTCAGCCTTGGACTCCTCAGCAGGCTTCTCAGCCTTGCCCTTACCCTTGACGGTCTGGCGGAGCTTGGAGAAAAAGGGAGGAGACTTGACTTTCTCGCCTTCCTCGTCAGAGGTAGCAGCCTTCTCCTTCTTGCCGAAGCCGAAGGGGAGAGTAGACTTGCGCTTCTCGGTCTTCTCCTTGGTCTCACCGTTGGTGGCAGGAGTGACATCAGTTGTCTCAGTGGGGACAGTAGTGGGAGAAGCAACCTCTGTCGAAAGTGGTTCAGAAGTCTCGACAGCAGGGATCACGGGAGCAGTCTCGGCAACTGAGGCGTCAACAGGAGCATCCTTAGCAGGAGTCGCAGGAGCAGACTCAGGCTCAACCTTCTTCTTTCCGAAAGAGAGACCACCGAAAAGGCTATAAAAAGGTTAGATCATGATATTGATAGGACAGCGGAGAAAACATACCTAGCACGCTTGGTAGGAGTAGGCTTGACAGGCTCCTCCTTCTTGGTCTCTTCGGCAGCAAGGGACTCGACGGCCGGAGTCTCGGTGGCAGCGTCCTCAGGAATGGGCTCAGCAGCCTCAGCGGTCTCGGCAGGCTTGTCCTCGGCGGACTTGTCTTCAGCGGCGGTCTCCTTCTTGCCGAGAAGGTTGCCGAAGATGGAAGCGCGCTTTCGGCTGGCAGATCGGCGCTTGGAGTCCTTACCGTCCTCCTTCTTATCCTCCTCCTTGGGTTCTTCCTTCTTGTCCTCTTCCTTGGGCTCCTCCTTAGCTTCTTCCTTCGCGGGCTCGGCCTCGACAGGCTTCTCCTCCTTGGTAGGCTTCAAGCTCTCAAGAGTCTGCTTGTATGCCTCAGTCTCAGTAATAGTGGCGGCAAGCTCCTTGGCCTCGGCAATCTTGATCTTCAACTGCTCAACCCAGTTGTCACGGTCAGCGGCAGTGGGTGCCTTGAATGCGTGCTTGTGGCCCTTGGCAGTGAAAGAGAACTTGGTAGCGCCCTCAACGGTAGGCTCAGAAGCCTCAGCCTATATACTAGTTAGTGTTATGTACTATTAACCATGTCGCATTAATCGAGCATACCAGTTGGATAGCGCCGGTCGGGGTGCTCTTATCGCTTTCCTTGCCGTAGAAGAAGAGACCCTTTCCGGTCTCGGTAGCCCAGGCAGCGACATGGTGGGCAACGTCGGTGGCCTTCTCATTCTTCAGGTACGTAGCGAGCTTGTCCTTGGGAATGGCATCGGCGCCGAACCAGAAGTGCTGCTTGGAGTAGATGAGGTTCCTGAATTAGGTTAGCTAAGATGTCTTTATCATGTGTAAAATTAATCGCGACATACTTAGGGAAGTTGGCGGGAGCACCCTTGTGCTCCAGGGTACCAGCCTCGATAGGCTTCACTTCCTCCTTCTTGGCCTCCTCAGCAGGAGCGGCGGCCTCAGTTGTCTCGGTAGCCTCAGCGGGTGCCTCAGCAGTGGCAGCCTCGGCGACAGGCGCGGTCTCGACGGGCTTGTCCTCGACAGGCTTCGTCTCCGTTGCGGGCTCAGCGACGACGGGGGTAGTCTCGGCGACTTCAACGGGCTTCTGTTCCTCTGCCATTTTGATTGTTGTCTAAAAGGAAAAACTAATTTGGGTATCAAGAATATGGGTATCACTAGAAAGGGGAAATTAAATAATGGAGAAGCTACTCGTTGGATAGAGTAGTATTAAATGGCACTTCGTTGTCTCGCGGGGGAGTGTTCTTTGGAGGTGCTTGAAATGGAAGTGGAAGAACAACGAAACTTGTATTTGAAGTCGAGTACGACAGGAAGGGTGGGAAGGGAAAAGTTCGAATGGAAGCACAGCTGCTTCTGCCGGGCTTTATTTATTGTCTCGTGATTAATGGGAAAGAGAGTGACATGGAAGGGAGCACAGTCTCTTAGTGACAAAGTACAGTGACTGTTACTGTAGCAGAGACCAGGTAGGCCAAGCGCAAAATCAGGAGTACGATGGAGTACCATTTCGACTCCTGGATGTACCCGGTACAGTATTTTCTCTACAAGTGGTGCACGGTAACCGTCTAACAGGGATTATCAGGTGGGTCTAGGCGGGTCGCGGGTTGTGTTGAGCGAAAACAGATGACCCACATCAGTGCATTAGCAGTGATTGGCAGTTGCCGCCGTTATCCCCTGTGTCCCCTGCCCTGTTCTAAGGGAGAAAGGGACGAAAAAAAAAAAGGAGTGTGGCCTAAAGTCGAGTAATAACGATAGACCGTTTGTCATTCAATATTATTATTGTTCCATTTTGTAGATAGACCTTACGCCATCTTAATGGCACACGTTTTTACAATATAGTAACCATTTGACCAACCTTATTCAAGAATTACATCCACACTACATAATCCCGTCCTGTTATTATTGTTGTTATTTTTATTATTGTTCGCCGTACCGTGTTTGTGCTACCATTACCTCAGAGTAATATCAGATTAACCGATACTTGATGTCTGGGATATAAGGGATTTTATATGCTACAACAATACATTAGGTATCTGGGTTGTTCATTTTCACTTCTGCATGAACTCCCAGTCCTTAGGTACCTAACTCGTTGCTGGGTCATCTCTGCAAATCTTGCAGCTATGGTCTGTGCCTGCAACTTAATTTTTTTTCTCCTTCTTCTCTTCGAAATGAAGGCCCTGTCTAGCTCGTTCGACGAAATTACAATGTCGTTTAATATGCACCGGCGTACTAGTGGCCATGGGCTATTGACAGGGGGCTGAAAGGGGGACAAGAATTGTTCCCAGCACCCCTCCTAGAAAATTCAGAACGGAAACCTTTCCCATCGAAATGGAAAGCTTCGAACTACGGAGTATTATGCTGGATTACTAGACCTCTTTGGCATGATGAGACCCAGATGATCCAACTTGCTATTGATGACCATAGCTTCGTTCGAGATCCCGGAATATTGGGACTTATGTACATATTGGGGACTGATATCCTTCTATTTAGAAACGTTAGAAACGAAGTACATGGAGTACATAGGTAGTGTGTAGTCGCCAAGTGGTAACTATATTATTATTGGCCTTCTTTTTCTTATGATCCGCGTATGTGTATCTGGCTGGTACCATACCATCTTTCTCGCTTGAAGCCAAGCGCATATGAGCACCCCTTTTTGCCTGCTTATTGAATAGACCGGAGGAGCAAATCAATTACGACCTACCTAATAGACCTACCTACCTAATACATGTCCCTAATACATGTTCTACACAGTCTGACAAGACACCGCTTGCCGAACCTGGCAGCTAGCAAGTTCGGTTCGGTTCTGGAATCGGACGACATTGCTGATGATAGGACGGTGGTGATCGCGCCGATACCACTCCAACACAAATATCCGTTACATCCATCCAATGAAGCCGATATGCAAGATGCACTCATTGCGGCATGCTCGCTGCATATTGTCCTGCAACTCACGGTCATAGGGCCAAGGGTGTGGATAGCTTTTCTGTCTTGGGTTGTCTTCGAGGAGGGTTGGCAGATTATGCTTATTGGGTAATAATTCGGATGAATTGTGGGATATGCGAGAGTAGATCTCCAGTGCAATATCAGGAGTAAGCTGGGCTGGCTGGCAAGATGGGTACTCGTTCAAGAAGTACCGACATTCATTAGCTTCTCATGGCTTTTCCCTACAAAACCCCTACTACCGCTAAAGCACGTTTATCTATGTAGACGCAGCATCCACTGCAGAAGAGCGTACATTAGGTACATATTACAGCCTGGCTCGTCTGCCCCCATGTGATAATTTTAGCTGAGTGGGCTACCTGGTAGTTGCTAGAATGATGTGGATGCCCCCCCGTCTGTGAGCTTTGTCGATCAGAGGGCCACCCTTCAACCGAAATAAGGAAGAAAAGGGGACTCGATATAGCCAGGATTTGATTCTTGAGATTTACTACATAATATCGCAGGCTCCATCGCATTTAAAAGTGAGTAGTCATTCCAGAATAGCCTTTCTTTCCTGTCCCTTTTCTATCCCTTGAACTACAGTGTCTGTTTCAGGCTATCATCTATCTCTGACACCTGGGTCGATTCTTGGTGGTTCAATTTTACTAGATCTCGACCCTGAAATCCCTGGAATCCCTGAAATGGGGACCCCAGAAGTGGATCCCGATATTCCAACTTGGAGCGTACCGGAGTTTTTCTCTGGATAACTTCATTTCAACGAGCCGTTCGAGTTGAGCAGCATGGATTATTCACCTATCAAGTACAACGTGTGCTCGGTTTAATATTAAAGCACTTCTCTTGCTCACGAAATATGCGAAATACGCGACATGGTTTGGTCAAGGTTGGTTGGGTACATACAAAACAGAGTCACTAACAGATAGGATCGCGATTAGTTGCGTGGATATACATATACCTAAACATGTAGTGTGATGTTACGCGCAGGACGTTACTGAGATTCGCGGCCCTCTCCTTATTTTTACGCCCAGTCGAACGATTGGATACGATACTAACCGATTTTTCACCCCATAAACATTTGGCGTCCGCGCGCAAAAACAGTCACTTTCAAGTTTCAAGATCCACTTGACAGCTCTGGAACTGGAATTGTATAAATCATTTAACTAAATAATTAGGTCGCGGGCGCCGTTCTCTAGGCTATCTAGACTCATCTTGTTATTACACTCCTAGGCTATTTTGATACGTAATAACGGCACTAGAGTCAATGATATCGGAACGAATATATGCACCAAGGAACAAGCGCTTCGACCAGTTCAATCATCATTCAAGAATTTCTTTCGATAATCTGTCTGTAATCTAATTATACACCAATCTGGTCCACATGGCGATGTTGGTGATGATATCCACAATCACAGATCGACGTTCCTATATACAATTGATAGGATTTGCGAAGAGCATCGATGAGACATCTAGAAGCTTTCCATTCGTCTTTGCACAAACCCCTACATCAATATCTCAGCCTCGCCTCGCGGGCCAAGGCGGTTAGCGAGGTGTATACGCTAATAAGCGGCTGGATTAAGTCACCGGCGCCAAATAACGTTGTCGCAATTGGTTGGTCGTGTGTCACGATCTATGGAACACATCGGTTGAAGAGTTGACAAGACCCGGCAAACGGTGTTTTCGTTTGTAACACGAAGTTTCAAGTCTAACAACTTCTACTCCTAGATCGGATATGAAGAATGCCATGTGAGTAGATGGTAAGTAAAGTAGTCTGTTATTTTTATCCCATACATCCTTTGGTATGTGGCATTAAGCAAATTTGATGTTCAGCTGGTTGAAATATAACATATTCTTTCACTCATGTATGCGTAATCATCATGGATGGGCCTTATTCCGTACGCTTCGAATGCCAGGGCTAGGTTACATTTGATCTCCCCGCGACGAACTTTCCTGACTCGTACATGACATAAACATACCATCCATCTTTGCGATTGCGTTTACCGCGGTCCCCCGCCTATCAATCCCCGCTATGTTATAGCCCTTCGAAACCTGAATCCCGATCAAGGGACCTCAGTTCCTAAGAATAAGCGCCTGACCTCGCCAATATATTCTCTAGAATGCTTTTCCCTCATCCCGCGTGGCCATTAGCCAATAACTAGCATCGTATTTGAGTTGTTTTAACTCGTATTGTTAGTCATGGTCCTATACTTGAGCTTTTTCCACTTAGTTATATGAAGTCAATCTAATATGTACATAGAGCCCTATCATATAGCAGCACCACCTAATAACTTGTTTCAGTTTCGTCGTTCCTTTTATTAGCACGGGTTTATGCAAATATTAGGGACGCCGCAGATCGATCCCCCCGGGTCCGCTATTCCTCCCGGTCTGGGAGGATTTCGCCGTTCGCAGGGATTTTTTTTTTACCGTCTAACGGTAGTTAAAGACGTCGAGCTAGCCCTTTGGGAATACAGACAAGATGTTGGATCTGATCATGCCGAACGTGTGCGGCACATTGCCTTGCTTGTCCTGAAATACCCTCCGATACGGTATGTCCTCGGGACCCTGTAAAAGCTTGGGTTCACTTTTCTTACCGGAAAAGCTGGAAACCCCCTTGCTTTTCTTTAATAACTACAGGAGAAAACTCCGAAACAAGAAGCTATATATCATGCAGAATACCCTACGTGAGCTCATCACGAGTCTAGCCGAAGATGATATTCAAAAGGTGGGGTGGTATAGTGAGTAACAACTAGGCGACTTGCGACATGATTTTAAAAAAATAACGGTAGTTTAAACCCGAATTAGACGCTCAGATGCCATTCACTGGCTGACCGTGACTCTGGTTAGGGCTATCGTCGTTATAGGCAAGTCAACGATAAACGAGGACACGAGCAAATTTTAAGGGTAATCCTTCAATGGCAGGGCGTAACCAACCGGCAACTTTTTTTTCTTGACGACGTTCATTCGCGTTCCATGCGCAGGTGACTATCATTATTACATATCCACCGGCATTGGGCTGTCAGAGATATATTTTCTTTCGCGTGTATTGCTCATCCCCTCACTTCCAAAGTCCTGAAATCGAGAGGCTAGAAGATGCTCGATTCGAGTGAGTGTGCGTCTTGGTTTGGCCCGACAGGGATGGTAGCACGTCCTCTTAGCGAATTATTTCGATATGAGCCATCATCATCGGTAGTGCCCGCTCTCTCTCTCTCTCTCTCTCTCTCTCCCTCATCATTCTTCTTCCTGCCCACTATCACATATCGACATCGACGATTATTCCGGTTTCCCATTGTCACGAGTGTCGCTTATTGATAACTTTTAAAGTGCTGGTCTCCTCCCTGTCTCAGAATTCTTTAACCGTCTGGGGGGTTATGTATCAATAAAAGTCGTCGAGCAGCATGCGGCTTGGGTGAGACAATCTCCGTGTAGTATCAACAGTGTTACATT